CTCAAGCGTGTGATGGAAATGTTACGCCCCTTACCATACTGTGACGACCTGTCCCGGCGTGACGAGACAAAAAGAGACAAAACCAATAAAACCCATTATAAACTAGGCATTTGTTGCATCCAGTGGGGACAAAATTACGGATTATAATGACTTATACTGTCTTTTTACACAGTGCGTTGCATCGCGCCGTGTAAACATAAAACCATGTCTGCATTTGTGATCTGAGAAATGACAAACAACAAGTGCTACTCTATACTGCTCAAAACTCGCGTTTGAATCATCAGTGGCAAATTCTTTAAATATGAAAGCATACCAGTGATTTCTAGTCGTGTCCTCGTTTTGGAAGGCCAAACAAAGTATTTTCGCTTTCGCAACGAAACACACAGCATCTTCACAACATGGCGGCGGCGGTGGCAGCAACAATAAAGTTACGCCTTCTTTCTTTGTTGGGCGGCGTTATGCAAATCTTCCCATATCGTGACGATATACATTACCAGTGTTTCCCATACATTGATTTATTTGTGGCGTTTGACTTCGTTGAATAAATGAGCACTGCACGTTTCAAAATAAAAACGCGGCGCAGGTGTTTTATATGAATGTATCTCTGAAGGCAACCGACTGTCTTCAGAATAGTTTAGATGGCATTTTTATCTGATAAAGTACACATTTCCCGTTTTTTTTGTTGTTGTTCAATTTTGTTGTTTTCTGCAGCGACTCGGAGCACTTTTCATACCCTTTTTTTCTGGTTGAAGCACATTTGTTTCAATCTATAAGAATAATCAGCCTACACTACTAGTCAAACGTTTTTGAACAGTAAGATTTTTAGTGTTTTTTTAAGAATTCTCTTCTGCTCACCAAGGCTGCATTTATTTGATTCAAAGTACAGCACAAACAGTCAAATTTAGAAATATTTTTACTATTTAAAATAACTGCTTCCTATTTGAATATATTTTAAAATGTAATTTATTCCTGTGATCATTATCAATATTTAAAACAGTTGAGTAAATTTTTTTGGGGGAAAAATTCTTGGAAAAATCCAAAAATCAGCATTTATCTGAAATAAAAAGCTTTTGTAACACACTATTCCATTCAAAAGCTTGAAATCAGTATAAAAATTTTTAGCAAGGATGCTTAAAATTGATCAAAAGTGATGATAAAGGTATTTATAATATTACTAAATATTTCTATTTCAGATAAATAGTGTTTATATCGATATCGGAATTATATCGTATCGACCGAAATTAAGAAATATACCGTGATATAAATTCTGGCCATATCGTCCAGCCCTATCGTGACGTAGACATGTGGGGGTGTGTTTAAACGAGGCGTTTTAGGAGGGCGTGGACGAGTCTTAAATTTTATAAAGAATATCTCTTTGGGTTTGAGACTTTAGTCTTTGCAATTTAGGGATCTTATCTATTCACGAACAGCTTGTAACACTCCAAAGATAAGCTAATTACTAAGAACATTAATATTCACTAAAATAGTATGGTACAATTTAATTAAGTATTTGGCTTTTTATGTTTCATGTTTAATGTTTGTTCCCTTGCCAAAATTTCAACAATCTGCTGAAAGATTATTTGAGTATATTATTTGGACAAATCATTTGTATAGGCAAGGTGCCATTACATGACGTAACTGTTAACTGGAAACATGATATATATATAAAAAAACATTCTGTCATCATTTACTTGTCCTCGTATCATCTCAAACCTGTATATCTTTCATTCATTGACTTTCAATATACAGACAAAAAAAAAGTTTCAAACACATTTTCCAAAATATCTTCATGTGTTTCAGAAAAGAGTGAAAGTCTCACAGATCTGGAGTAGGGTTGCAAAAAGGTGGAAAATTTCAAGTAAATTTCGGAAATATTCCAGAAATTTTTCAAACTTTCCAGGATTTGTTTTGGAATATTCCAGGGATTTTTGGAAAGTTTCTGGAAATTTTCCACCCCTTTGCAACCCTAATCTGGAGCGACATGAAGGTGAATAAATGATGACAATATTTATTTTGGGGTGAACTATCCCTTTAACTTGTAATGCCAACTACAAGGGTCAAGTCCAGTCCATA